CAGTGAAACGCCACAACAGCACGGTGTATTAAAATACAGACACTTTAATATAAAGACAAAACTTCAAAGCATCGTTTCAATTACAAATCAAGGTAAAGACACAAGAAATTAAGTGGAGGGAGGGGAGAAAAAACCTCATTGCGGAGAATTAGAAAGGCAGGGTGGAAATATATATATTATACATACATATATACACACCAGAAGAATTCACACTACTTCTATGGAATAATGAAAGGAATGACAGGACGACTTACTGGTATTAAAAAAAAAAAAAAACCAAAACCAACAACAAAAAAAAAGATAAATTAGGGGAAGTTTGAATTTTAAATAATTCAGTTTAATAGGCTAAATTATATAAACTAATTCCTATTCACTAGGAAACATCCCATATCACTGTTCTAAGAAAATGGGTTTTTTAAAAAAATCCATTGAAAAATGGATTTTTATTAGTAGTTAAAAGTTTACTAATCAATTCCTGAGCAACAGCAACCTCATAATCTACTGCATTCCCCATCAAAGTCCCACTCAGCGAGGGCAGGCTCTCACTTCTAAAATGTTTAAGTAGAACAGAGACCTAAAAAGTTGGTTTTTAATTTGAAATCGATCACTTAAAAGATTAATAGGTTAAAAAAGCCAAGCAGGATGGATCAACCCATTCCACCTTTACTCAGTAACTCCAGCCACAAGACCTTGCTAAAGAATGATTTGACTGCACCAGAAAAGCAACCAGATGTACCTTGAAAAAACCAAAGGATCACAAACTTGAGAACTTCAGGGTTAACATCGTAAAACTTTGTATTTTAAGATGTTAATTTTTTTTTAACTATCAAAACTTGAGAAACCTCTTCAGAAAGAGGGTCGCAAACAGCAAATATACTGGAGAAGTATTTCCCTTTTTCGTCTTGGGTTTAAACCCTGAAGTTCACAATAATAACATATTTTATTGCAATACTCAGTCTAAATAGATATTTATATATTTATAATGCATAAGGATAAATAAAATATGGCACAACAACATTTTTAAAACTGGTAATCCATCTTTTAGTGAAAACCTGATATGCAAGCTACGGAAATGCTGGAGCAAAAAAAAAAAGAAAAAAAAATCTTTAACAGTCATAAAACTTCAAATACTCGTACACTGACTACACATCCGTGCTTCCAAAAAATCCAATTCTTGTGATTTTTCCCCAGTGCTGCAAAGATAGTTCACAAAAACACTGTCTAGTTTCTTCTCCCCAAACTGCAGTTGTGCAGGACGTTAGTGGTGGTTTGTGGTCCACTGTACAACGCCCACTCCCCAGCTGAAGAAATCACCCCTTGGAGCTCCCGGCGCTTAATCCTCTTTATGCTTTTGGCTCCGGCAAAACAACAAAAGCAGAATTTGTCAAGACAACCCCCTGTGTGAGCTGGGATAACTCCCTCCAAGACAAAAAACCATCAAGAACCTTCAGGATTCCCTACCCTGTACTGAAAGGGCTGATTCCAACCCAGCAAGCGAAGGGGTTACCCATCCCCCCGAGCCGCCGTAACGAAGGGCTCGTCTGCGAGCGGTACCGGTGACGGGCACCGGCCAGGGACGGCGAGTCCGGGCTGGGGAAGCGCCTCTGTTACTGGTGCTGGGAGGTGATGAGCACCAAACTCCAGACCCGACCGGGGAAGGGCCACAGGGAAGTCTGAGCCGGGAGGGGAGTCTCTGACCAGCAGCTTGAAAACGTGCTCCCAGCACCGACGTCTCCTCTTCCAGCAATGAGGCACAACCTGGAGCGGGGCAGCGGCCACGGGCTGACAGCGCCTTTCGGAACGGAAATGCCAACCCTGCCAACGTGCAGCGGCACCAACGCGGCAGCGCTGC